GGGGACAAACCCTCCAAGGCCTTTTATAGGGCTAGAAAGCCAATCACTAGCTGCCACGTGGGAATAATTTAGAACTGGCCAATAGTGGGACACAAATTTGCATGCGGGTGGCGGGAACTCCTTTGCACCAGGGTTTTCTCTTTGCAACTGAGAAATGCACCTTGCAAAGAAAGCTCCTCGTGGCGGGAAATAATTTAGCAGTGCCGAAGCGCGCGCACACAAAAATCACACCCTTGGGTTGTGACAAAGTACAGATTATATTAGGAGTGTCAAATTCATCCAGCTGCCTGGGATTGCAATGCAAGCCCCATATCAGATCCACATACAGGCCCCATGCACCAGTCGCAGCAAAGGGCTGGTCCAGCATAGGCAGCTCATGCAGCACATATCCTGGACCAGCCCTGTGCACTGCAATCAAATGTGTGCTGGCACTGGCCTTCAGCTCGCATGTGGAGCTGCCATGGAGTGTGCACTGCATGAGCTGTGCATACCAGACCAGTCTGGCATGCTGGCTTCAGTGCTTGGGGCTGGTATGTGGGCCTGATCAGGACTGGCCCTGAAGCCAGCGAGCAGGGGTGGTCTGGTGGGGCACTGCATGCAGCATATACCCCACACTGGCCCCCTTTGGTGTGTGTAGCACATGTGCTAGGACTAGCCATGCATGCCACATGCAACACAGCAGCCCCATGCTGGGAGACCCACAGATGGGATCCTAGGGCTCCATAGGCCAAATCTACCACACAAGGGATATGTCTACACATGCATTTGATGTGGGACCAGTTAACTTGTGAATAAACTACTCACATATAAATGCTCCCAAACAGGCATCTACACATGCAGGGATGTGGCTGTTCCTGCTTCCTGAGACCCCCCAGGCCCTTCCTGGGGCCCTGCTTACCGCTGCCACGCTCCCACTACTGCCAGCACTGCCGTGCCCCACCAGCTGCCAGGAGCACGTGTCGTACATGGTGGTTCTGCTCCTCCTCAATCGGGGACCCTGCCTACCTGCTCTTCCCCTACCTTGTGTAGCCCTACACTGGCCACTTGGACCCCAGCCAGGCACACTTTGACTGGTGCCTGGGCCGGACCTGTGCCCAGGTGGAGTGCACCTTCAGGTGCCTCAAGGGATGCTGGTGCACCCTCACTGCCTGCCTTGAGCTTAGGAGACAACATCCCCCGGGTCACTGTCACAGCCTGTGTGCTGCATAACATCTGTGAGGCCTGGGGAGAGTTCTTTTGTGAGGCCTGGGCAGAGAAGTTGCACCAGGGGGAGGATGCCTGACAGTGGGAATACCAGCTGTGGCAGCAGTGACAACAGTGGGACCACCCACTGAGGCCCCTGGCAAACTGTACACTCACCCCTGGGGGCCAGGGCACTGGGTGCAAGAGGCACAGGCCACAGGTTCCCATGCTGCAGCAAGTCCAGCAGCCAGCGGGCTTGCCTAGGACAACAGTGGCCACTAGTCCCGGCACTGGTGGCTCTCCCTCTGGCAGCTGGTGACTGGCTACTGCACAGTAAAATGTCTTGTTTAGATGCGACCAGGCTGTATCTTTGATATGACTGGGTTAGAGAAACACTTGTCTAGGATGGTTTAGATAAGGATGATCCTGCCTTGAGCAGAGGGTTGCACTAGATGACCCTTGGAGGTCCCTTCCAACTATCCAGAGTAGGGATAGAGAAGTGCGTATTTTTTATGATTCTATGAACATACCAATCCTTTAGACCTAATGATTGAATAGTTAGGACACTGGCCCAGGAAGCTAGGGATCTGGGTTCTAGCCTTCCCTTGCATAGAAGGGTTTTTTGTCTGCATGTCTCCGACACACCACACCACAGGTTAGACTTTATGTAACCCCCTCTCCAGCACTCCTTATGAAGTCAAACCACTGCACTTTGCATTGGATAAAATGGATGGATAGCAATGTAGTGGAGAAGAGCAAGGATTCAAATTAAAAGCCATGGCCTGCTCCCTTCCACAGCAACATAAGATACTATTGAGCTACAAACTGTCTAGCTTGATTTTTATCTCCTGGCCTCACTTATCTCCCTCTCCTGGCTGCCTGGGAGAGGTAGGGGGTAGCTTCAACAGAAACACTACAGAGGGTTTTTAATAGAAGATGAGACATTAGGACTATATTTTGCAGCACAAGTATATGCATCAGACACTGATTTTAATATAAATTAATGCATCATATACTTACATTGAGTTCCAGAACAGTATCCAAGGTAATCTTTTTATCCCAAGAAATTGATTGTCCAGTAATACGTTGTATAATTTCCCAATGCCTTTGTTGAAGATATGGACTTTTTAAAAACACAGTGATGGACAAGGCTTCTTTAAAATTAATTAATGACTGCTTCAGATCTGTTATTATATTATTTTCTGGTAAACCTTGAAAAATAATATGAAACATTTATAGAACATCAGACTATGAATTCCATTTGCATAAGCAAATATTGTCAGTAACGTAACTGAGAGGGAGAGTCGAAGACAGCATCCCCAGTTGCTACATCTGTAGGTAGGAGGGGGACTCTACATCCTGCTTGCCATCAAACAACTTCAAGGTAAACAGACTATTCCAACTTTTCTCTGAGCCTAATCTGCATAAAACAAACTGTTCCACACAGGAGATTTTACCACACCTTCAACTCTCCTATGAATTATCAACTTTCGTTTCTACCTAGGAGAACTTTTACAATCTTTTCTCCTATGCCTGAAGAAGGGTGCTTGGGCCTCAAAGCCTGCAAATTTTAATTTTTTTTGCAAAAATCTAGTTGGTCTAATAAAAGATATCACCTCTACCATTCATTCTGATTCCTTTTGCCTCTAGACCAATATGGCTACAACCTGGATACTTTACCTATTCAATGGCTTGCACCTCATAATAATTTGATTTTGAAGAATAAGAAAACAGCAAAGACATACTAAAATAAACAGAATAATTCTCTTTGATCCAGAATGACCTGGATAAACTGGAGAAATGATCAAAAAAATTAGTCAGATGAAGTTCAACAAGGACTAGTGTGAAGTCCTGCACTTCGGATGGAATAATTGCATCCAAAAATACAGATTGGGTAATGCTGGCTATGCTGCAGTACTCCTGAGAACAATCTGGGGATTTACAGTGGAACATAAGATGAATATGAGCCACCAGTGTGCTCTTGTTGCAAAAAAAAAAAAAAAATCAACATTATACTGGGTTGCGTTAATAGAAATGTCTCTTGCAAACCAAGGAAAGTGATTCTTCGGCTTTATTCAGCACTAGTGAGGCCCCACCTGGGACTAGTATGTGCAGTTTTCAGTCCTACACTTCAAAAGATTTGTGGACAGATTGGAAGGAGTCCAATAGAAAGTAATAAAAATGATTAAAGGTCTGAGAAACATGATTTATGAGGAAAGGCTAAAAGAACTAAGATTATTTAGTCTGGAGAAGAGAGGGCCAAGGGGGAATTGGTCTTCAAATTACTGAGGGGAAATTCTAAAGAGGATTGAGATAGAATTTTCTACATGGCTCTTGGGGAAAGAACTAGGAACAATGGCCTCAAGCTGCAGCAGAGGAAATCTAGGGTATTAAAAACAACTTTTTGACTATGAGATTGGTTAAGCACTTAAATAGGATACCTAGGGAAATTGTGGAATCTTCATCCCTGGAAATTTTCAACAGTAGGTTAGGCAGACATTTGACTAGCATGGTTTAGTCAGGGACAATCCTGCTTGAGCACAGAGTTGGACTAGATGACCATGTAAGGTTCCTTCCAGCCCTATTCTCCTGTGATCCCAATTTATACCAACTGTGGATGTGGCTCTGAATTTCTGTACATTCATTTTGCTTACCTAATTATATCTATGGATGTCTACAAGTCTGAAGCTAGGTTCTTGGTAATATCCTTTATTGGACCACAGCATAACTGGGAGGGATGTTATACATATTTTCAGGAACTGAATGCCCCATCTCAGGCCCAGCAGTTTAGGGACGTGCCTGGGCACCTGGGGCAAAGTGGAAGCAGCAGCTTCCAGTTCAAGATCACAAATGTGCAACACCAGAAGCAGTTGCATTTTTTTGCCTGCCCCTTGCTACATCACTGCTCAGGTCATCCCATACTGGAACTGACAGAAAAGATCAAACAGCTACCCGACGAGGATCAGACCTTTGACAGCAAGGTAGTAGTTTTTCTTTTCTTGGATACTTGGAATGGCCAATAAAAATGATATTTTATATTTTGATTATTCTTTTTGGTGTATACACAGGTGTGACGGAGGACCTCCTCAGGCCGATCTCCATGGCCCGCCCTCTGTCTCTGGGCAACCGCCCGCTTATCTCGCCTTTGATGATAATCAGTCCAATTATGTTGTTAACTAAGCGGGAGGCTGCCCTTCGTACTGCCCCGATGCCAAGGGGCACTCTGCGGCTCCGACCTCCCCTAATACCGCAGCCCAAGCCTCGCAGATGGCATCATGGTGTTCTTCCTCACCGGCCCCACACTGGGCCCCAGAATCTTCCGCGCAAGACCCCACTATGACCTTCGCTACACAGGTGGCCACTCCGCCGTCAACTGGGCTACCTCACCCCCCCGAAGCTATCTTCCCCTCTCGGTGTGGTTCCCCCAGAACCTTCGGCCTCTTGCCCTGGCCCACCTCAAGGCCAGTCGGGACCCCAGGCCCCCGGCTCTTGGGCGTCCCTCGCAGTGGGCCCCCGGCCCTTTTGACCCTCACTGGTCCTGGCCCCAGCATGTGCCAGTCGAGGGTACTATCCCCTTCGGGCTGGGTCTCTCTAGCCACTCTCTGTCTCCTTGGGCCTCACCGTGCCACAACTCCCTTCCTCCTAGGAGTAACCGCAGCACCACGCCCACATCACTGTCACTCTCAGGAACTGCCCCCTCTGGGCCCCTCACAACAATGGCCCTCTAGGCCCTCATCACACTGGCCCTCTAGGCCCTCATCACACTCGGGGTTCACCCACACAGTGGTGGTGGGAGCTAGGGGTTAAGGCGCCCCGACCCGCCTTTCACCGGGGTGATAACTGGCCTGGCATTTCCTGGGGGCTCCCACACCACTGAGAGCCCCACCAGGACACCCACTCCTGGCAGGGTACAGTTTCAGGTCATGCCCAGGACCAGGAGCCTCCTAACCATCCCCTTGCAGCTTCCCCCTTACCTCCAGGCATTCACAGCAGCCCTAAGGCCAGGCAATGTTGCTGCCTGACCTCCTGCAGCCCAACTGCCTGGTTTATATAGGCCTCAAAATGGCTGCCGGCTCCAGGCCCTTAAAGTGACAGGAGCACCCTATGCTCTGCCACAACAGGTTATATAACAAAATACCCTTGTGTCTCAGATTTTCTGAATGGTCATGAATACAACACTTGAATCATATTACAAATCTCAAGCAACTAGCAATTTTCATGCTTTTACCTTTTTCTAGTATCTGTATTATCTGCATAAATCTGCTAACTTCCATTTGTATTAAATCTACATCAAGGTTCTCAAAAAGGGTGTGTTTCCACCTAAAAGAAAGCTTTCCCCATTCCTCAAGTGAATCCCACAATAGTTTTCGCAAAGTTAATTCATCTTCAATCTCAGAAAGCTCTGTGGTGACTCTCTGAGCACTTGAATCACCAGCTTGACTCTTCTGTGACATCTTTTCCAAGGATGCTGTTCTCATGTCAGCAGTTGCACTGTAGAAGAAATCCTGGTACTTAACATAACTTCGGGTTTTGCTATAAATGACTGCAGCTTCTTCCACAAGATTTTGGATCATTTCTTTAGCTGTCTTAGGCAGTGTTTCACTGAGGAGGAGGATTGGGTTTCTAACCTAGGCAGCATAAAAATGGGACAGAATAAGTTCTGAAACTATCAAAGTACCAAGTCTTGCACCGCTAATAATTTTTTTTTACATTAAAACAATTGGTTAAAACAATTTGTAAGAGGGGCACATAGGCAAGTATCTGAAAAGATATATTACTTATGACTTCCAGGCTTTTTACCATATTGTTCTGTTATAGCTTCTTCTACTATGCACATGTGCTTTAAATTTAAAATTTCAGGCTTATTAGGAAGAAAACGATACCAAAAAAAAAAGGGTTTTTTTATTCTCTAGATACTAAAGATGTATGAGCTTCTTGATTTTTCAGAAGAGGTTTCCATTTTCTAGAGAAGTTAGGAATATTAATAAATCACATGCATTAGTAACAGCTTTACATTTTCAAAGTGCTTTGTTCTCTGTTCAGGAAAACACTTAACCATATGCCCCATTTTAAGCATGTGAGTAAGTCCAATTAGATTCGGCAACTGAAAATAATCACTTAAAGCAGAATGCAAAATTCCATTAACCTCTATTTGTGCCATGAAGCGTACAAAACACCAAGCAATTCTCAGGCAGTCGGTGTGCCATGACAGCCATTTAACATGCTGGAAATATAGTCTTCTCTTGTTGTTACAGAAGAAAAAGAAATGGGAGAGAGCCTCATGTTCATATCCATGTCAGAAAGAACAGAGTCAATGTGTTTAATACAAAGAATCAACAGATCAGTCACTGGAGGAGAAAAAGTGTGCACTATTAGAACACAGAACACAAGATATAGACTTGAGGTTGAAAAAAATCTTAAGAGAAACTGAGAAAAATCCACCAATTATCCTTCATTTTGATATAAGTGGCACTGCCGGATTCCTGCTTCAACAGATCAGTAAGAATTACACAAAGGTGAGGGTGATGCTCAGAAAAGGTTAGGTTCTGGTGATTTTCCAGGCAAGTCTTCCAATTTTACAATCAGGAGAGAGGAGGAGTGAACCAATAATGAAAAACAACAGATGGCTGAAGGATTGGTGCTAGGAAGAAGGTTTTGGAGTGTTCAACTCACTGGAAGGCATTCATATAAAAGAATACCCTTCTTGATGGATGGACTCCATCTAAATACCTGGGATACTAAACTTCGAGAATTAAGTATACAAAAAATAAGAGTTTTTACTCTCTAGATACTAACAATGTATGAACGTCTTGATTTTTCAAGAGAGGTTTAAATTTTCCAGAGGAGTTAAGAATATTAATGATCATATGCATTAGTTATAGCTTTACATTTTTGAAGTGCTAAATTTGGAAAAAAAGATTCAGAGATTAGGATATTAAAATCAGGCACAGGCATTAAATAGGAAAAGAATCAGATAAACAAGACTATAGTAAAGGATAAAGAAACATTAGACGGCAGGAATACGGAAGGGACAGAGATGAAAACAAGTTAGAACACCTATTGGAACCTGTAT